TCCATTTGCCACAATTGGTTGGATGCCAGCCCACGGGGATTAACACCAGGGCTGGGGTGGCCAATCTGATTAGAGCATTGAGGGCATTGTTGAATAATTGCACGTGCCGCTTCCAACGGGATTTGGAACTGGCGGCTAAGGGCTTTTGCATTTTGATGATGGAAAGCATGACTTTCAATAGGGGAAACAGGCAAAGCTCTAAGCAGTGAATCTGCTTTCGCGTTGCCTTCAGTGATGAAGCCAGGGAAAGGTTGGTGGGAGCGAATGTGCACCACAAATAGAGGGTGGGAGCGAGTGGAAAGAAGTAATTGTAAGGATAGGAAAAGGCTCAATAAATTGTCATCCAATAAAGGACTTACATAACTGCCTTGTAGACGAGTTATGACATTTGCAACATATAGGCTGTCCACGACCAAATTTAAAGGCTGCTTGGAGAAGTGGTGCAGAGCTTTAACAGCAGCTGCTAACTCAGAACGCTGGGCAGATTTTTGTGGAAGAGTGTAGAGGCTGTGCCATTCCTCATCTTGTTGCCAGGCAACTACCCCCCTGGAGGGGATCCATCAGTAAAGACAGTAGGGGCGTCCAAAGGGACAGGAGATAATATGGTTGAGAAAGACAGGGAAAATTGTTTGCTCATTTGCAGGCGAGGGTCGGCTGGGATATGGCAATCCACTTGGCCAACAAAATCGGCTAAGGCGCACTGCAAATCCATGCTAGTGGAGAGAGCAGTTTCCCATTGTTCTAAAGGCATGGGTACAATGAGTTGGCCGCAGTCAGTGCCAAAGAGGCTTTTGCAGCGGCGGCGTCCCTTGCTGATGAGCTGAGCAAGGAGATCCACTAAAGGAGTCACCGTGTTCTTTGGTGTATGATGCAAATACAGCCATTCAATTATGTGAACTTTTGATGGGCCTAACTGAATAATGGCCGCAAAAGGTTGGACAGAATCTGTCATTATGACTACATCAGGCAAAACATTAAGAATAGCTCGATCAACCCAGTGGAGACGCATGATTTCCTTTAGCTGGGCAACAGTCTCCTGCTGAGTGGGAGTCAAGGTGATTTTTTCACCAGGAGATTGATGGCCTTTTAAGGCTGAAAAAAGCGGCCGTAAAACTTCAAGGGGAATTTTAAAATAGGGTCTTATCCAGTTGATATTGCCCAGCAATTGCTGCAGCTGGACATATTTCATTGTTTTTGGAACATGAAGTTCAGGGACAATAGGAATAGAATAGCTAGCTATCATTTTGTGTCCCAAATAATGAAAAGGAGATGATTCCTGAACCTTTTCTGGGGCAATTTTCAAACCATAACGTGACAAACAGGCTTGCATATCCTGTTTCCAATGAGGGGGGAGGCGTGGCCCACTAATAAGCACGTCATCCATATAATGACAGATCAGGAGGTGTGGATGCTGCAAACGAAAGGGCTGGAGGGCTTGGCTCACATAATGTTGGCACATGGTAGGGGAATTCAACATTCCTTGTGGTAGGACTTTCCATTGGTACCGTTCCGTGGGCTGACTGTTATTTAACACAGGAACAGTGAAAGCAAATAATTTACGATCTTTTTCCTGTAGGGGCATGGAGAAAAACAGTCTTGCAAATCTATTATAGCCAATTGATAAGAATGTGGGATTAAATTTGGATTTGGCAGACCACATTGTAAAGGCCCCATGGGTTCAAGGATTTGGTTTATTTTCCTTAAATCCTGGAGAAATCTCCATTTGCCACTCTTCTTTTTTATGACGAAGATGGGTGTATTATAGGGGCTAACTGAAGGCTCAATATGATCTGCCGATAATTGTTCATTCACTAATTGCTTTAAAGCAAGTAGCTTTTCTCCTGTTATGGGCCATTGTTCCACCCATACAGGAGTGGTAGATTTCCAGCTGAGGGGAAGTGCAAGCTTACTCATTAAATTGAATGGTAGCTTGTAATTGCTGTAGCAAGTCTCTTCCCCACAGATTGAGGTGGATTTTCAGCACACAGGGCTGGATGTAAGCAATGGTTTCAGAGCTATCAGGCAGAGACACAGGCAGCCACCGTACGCTTTTGGAAGAGGTTTGGGGGCCACCCACACCCCAGACAGCAGAGGCAGACTCAAGGGGCCACGTGGGGTCCCAGCAACTACTAGAAATTACAGAAACGTCTGCGCCTGTGTCAATCAAGCCTTCCAGCACAATACCATTGATTTTATACTTACGAAGAAGTTTCTTCTCACCAATCCTCTGGACTACAGCTAACAGCTGTGGAGGGAAAGAAGAGAGCTCGTGCAAATTAGTATCCATAATAGAAGCAGTAGGATGAGAAGGGAGCACCACCAAATGCGCCCAAGACTCACCCTTTTTAATTGCATGGGCATATGGCTCCAGAGTTGAACCATTATTGTGCCTACATAGTCAGGATCCAGAACTCCAGGAATAACCTGGATGCCTTCCTTCGCCGCAGAAAATTTGGGTAAAATTAAACCTGCGACTTTAGGAGGCAGGGGACCTGCCAATTGAGTGGGCATGAGCACAATTTCACCAGGTAGAACAGAATCTTTGGTCTCTTGATTGATCAAATCAATTGCAAATTCAGAGGGTGTGTTCTTTGAAAAGTTTGCAGCAGCAGAAATTAAAGGCGGAAAGCTCTCTAATTTTCCTGGCCCGAGAGTGGGGCCGCAATGGAGTTTCCCGAACTCCTGCATTGATTAGCCCAATGATAGCCTTTTCCACATTTCGGGCATTTTTTAGAAGGTCTAGCCTTAGAGGCGGAACCATCCTTGTGTGCCCCCCCGCCTGGGGCTCTGCATTGCTTGGCAAAGTGGCCTGGGCGCTTGCAATTAAAGCAGTTACCAGTAGGCTTAGTGGTTGCTTGGATTGCGCCGGCAAGCAAGGACATCGCATGGCTCTGGCTACCGACATCCGCACAAGCTTGAATCATATCGGCCAGTTCATATTTAGGGCGATGTATGATTGACTGCAAAGCTTTCTTGCAATCAGTGTTTGCGTTTTCAAAGGCCAATTTTTTCATCAATTCATTTTGAGCAGTGGTGTTATCAATCTGCCTAGTGACTGATTCTTTCAATCTATCTATAAACTGATGGTATGGCTCCGAATGCTGTTGCTTAATATTTACAAAGGAGCTCAGCGGTTGCCCAGAAACAGGGACTTTCCGAAAGGCGCGTTGTACGCAGGTCGCGGTGCGAACAAAATGTACAGGTGTCAGTGTTGCTTGGGCAGTTATATCAGCAAACTGACCAGCACCATAAAGTTCATTGGCAGTATGTTGAGGATCAGACAGGGCTGAAGCGCTATGTTTAAATTCACTCTCAAACACCACATACTGAGCAGGGGACAAAAGCATGCGCATAAGGTCTTTCCAGTCCTGAGGTAGCATAATGTAACCAGTTGCTATGCCCTCTAGCATCCCTGTCACATAAGAGGATTTCAGACCAGAATCAGCAATGGCTTTCCTTAATTCCCTCATTACAGAATAAGGAAGCGATTCATAATAAATCTGCTGTTGAGCAGATCCAGGGTTTGAATAAGAGATAGGGAAAGCAGACGGCATTTCACCTGGCCACTCAGACTCCTCCTCTAAGGACAGGAGCCCTTTTGCCTTGCCAGAGAGAGCGCAGCACGCACAGCTCCTATAGAGCAAACAGGGGCTGTGGCAGGAGGAGGAGGGATGGGGGGGGAGGAATCAGGCTGAGGCGGAGGGATGGGGGGGGAGGATGCAGGTTGAGGAGGGTGAGACGCAGGGAGGGATTGGCTGGGCTGCAAAGGAGAAGGAGGTAAAAGTTTCGGGTAAGGGGGGGGATTGTCTGCGATGGCGAAAAGTGCTGGTGGCGGGCGAGACGCCTGTGGTAATTTAGCGACGGCATCAGCACATTTCTGCCAAGTGAGCAGACAATGAATCGGAGCCCTAGGTTCTGCAAAAAGGGTCTTTCCGATCTTTTGCCAAGTCTCTACGTCCAAAGATCCAGCCTCTGGATAAAAAATGCATTGGCAATTTATCTCACATAGCAATTGTTCAATTTCTTTTAAGGAAATATTAACACCCACCTCCCGCTGTCTAACTAAATAAAGCAACTCTTTAGCATGCTCTTTCTGGAGCTTAGTCAAGTCCCCTCCCATACTCACGAAGTAGCGCGCTGAGACTTTTCCAGTCGGGTGAAGTATGAGGTTTGGCTGCGTAAGGGATCTGGCACGTCGGGGGTCACCAGATGTTGGGTTGAAATCACGACAGACGAATGGTGGGTGTCAAAGGAGAGGCGTCTGCCCGGGGCAAGTCCCGGGACTCTCTTTATTGAATATTACAAACATTGCCACAGGTGTGCTTGTGGCTGATTGGCTGATACAAACACAAAGCATCTTGTTGCTGATTGGTTAACATAGGTACAAGGCGGGCATTACATTTTACATTAATCAGTGATAGTTCAAAAGACTGGGAGCGGAGCTGGAACTAGACAGGCATGAATCCTCCTAATTAAATTGTAACTAAGATTAATATAACATGACTAAAACAATTACTAATGATTGATCATAAGTGAAAGGTCCGTATATGTGGTCAGCTATGCATTGAGAACAGAGCATGTTGTTTTTTGTACGTGAACTCAGAATGAACTGAAGAATTGAGGGAATGTCTTGGGTGTCCTGAGCTTGGTGTGTTTGGAACAGTATGTGCAGAGCAGAAGGAGACTTCCCAGAATCCAAGAGGAAAGAAGCAAGAGTTTTCATAGTAAGCATAGAAAGATTGCATAGTAAGAGTTCCCATAATGCCACAGTTATGTGCAGTAAGAGAACTGCAGAACGAGAACTTCCCTTC